CTTCTGGATCCCAGTCCAACCTCTGCCTACTGCTCTCAGCTTTTTCCTGTTCGGTCTCAAATGCCCACTGCAGGCCCTGGCAAGGCACTTCTCTCCCTCCCATCATGTTTTGCACCTGCTGCTGGGCAGTCCTGTCTCTGTAGCCCTTCAAAGCCCATTCCCCAGGAGGCAGCCAAGCACTGAGGGGTGAGGTAACTCTCCCGAAGTGACACAGTGAGCTAGACACGTGGCTGCACCAATGCATTCAGCAATGATCCATTGCCAGCTTCCTATTGTCCCACTTTTGTGATTCATAATGGAAATGCAATAGTGAGCGAAATGGACCTGGTGGTTGCTCATGGAAAACATGGGACTAGAAGATCAGGGAGGGCTTTGTGGAGGAGGTGGTGATGGAGGGGAGATCTGAACAAGAGACCATATTATGCTCTGGGGAGGGGAATGCAAAGGCTTGGGGTGGGAGAGGACGGAGTTGCCCAGAGAGCTGAGAGATGCACCATATCACTAGAACGGAGAGGGGAGTGGGGGGCAGTAAGCCCCAACCACTCTGGGCCTGGAATCCTCCTTACCCTGGAGGCTGTCTTTGAAGGGGAGCGTGGAGACAGACCAAGAGCAGCTGGGAAAATAATGCAGTGGGCGGAGGAGCTGGTGGAGACAGCCCACTCCAGGAGGCAACAGGCACAGTGGCACCCTGGTGATAGATTAGATGGGGGGCAAAAGAACTGGCTCCAGGATGGAGAGGGGGTAAGGAGTGGGTAGGGTGGAAACCTTGAGGCAGGCACAGTTGGTGCCGGGGAAGAGAGGTGTGGCTGGGGAGGGAAATAAGAGCGGGCAACTTCAAAGTCAGAAGAGTGTGAGTGGCACAGGGCATTTGCCACTGGGAGATAACGCCAGACACGGTGCCAGGTGAGCACACAGGTGAGCACTGAGGCAGCTGGGAACCCCAGAGAAAGTTGTTCCCATGGAGAAGTGGGGTCCGACTGGATGTAGAGCAGTGGCTTCGACAGACACAGGCAGGGTTAAGGCTGCACTCAAGGCTGCTGTGTAACTAGAGGACAATCCCCATGACCACACGAGCTCAGACCGGTGCCACAGAGGGGTGGAGTGGCTACATCCCACATAAGCCAGGCCCCAGCTTTGGGCCTGCAGCCTCTTCCAGTCCCTGCTAATGCACTGATGGCATGAGAGACTTTGGGGCACTCTCAGCCTGAACTTCACTCCTTACCAGCACCCAAACTGTTGGCCTGCCTGCCGGGGAGGTGACAAAGCCCTTCTCAGGCTGGGACAACACAGGATGGCAGAGAGCAGGGAGCCAAACCAGGAAACTCTACACAGAGCATCAGAAAGCAGGGCCACAGAAATGCTTAGAGAGACTGTGGGGAAATGCTTAGAGAGACTGTGAAATGTTGTATGTTTTTTCCCAGCTTCACTGAGGTATGATTGACACCTACATTTTAAAATGCACACTGCATCTATTGTGGATTACTCCACACGGTCAAGGTAGTGAACACAGCCATCACTATCACAGTTACTCTTTCTGTGTGTGTCAGAGGGAACACGTAAGCTAACCCTCATCAAATCTCACGTACACAACGGTGTTATCAACTACAGTCACCATGCTGCACAGGAGAATCCCCAAACTTACTCATTCCTCCCTGGAAATTCACACCCCTTGACACATCTCTCCCCATTTCCCCATTCTCCAGCCCTGGGCAACTATCTTTCTCCTCTCTGCTTCTATGGGTTCAACAACGGTTCCACATTAAGCGAGATAGTGCACTATTTTTGTCTTTTTGTGTCTGGTTTATTTCATGGAACAGGATGTCTTTCAACTTATGCGTGTTGTCACAAATGGCAAGATTATTTTATTTCTTTAAAAATTTTTTTTGCAGCACTGGGAATTCAACCTAGACCCTTAGCACGGAGCTACATACATTGACAGCTTTATTTATTTATTTAGCAACAGGGTCTCACTGAATTATCCAGCCTAAGTTTAAACTTTTAATCCTTCTGCCTCAGCCTTCCAGAGTTACAGGGTTATGTACACTTGTAATCATGCCCAGCTAACATTTTTTTCATGGCTTACATCTCTCTCTGTCTCTGTCTCTGTCTCTCTCTCTCTCTCTCTCCCTCCCCCACCACCTCTACCTCTGTCTCTATCTCTATCTCCATCTCAATCTCAATCTCTCTCTCTCAATCTCAATCTCAATTTCTATCTCTTGATCTCTACTTCTATCTCTATCTCTGTCTCTATCTCTACCTCTAACTCTACCTCTATCTCTACCTCTATCTCTATCTTTATCTCTATCTCTATCTCCCCTATCTCTGTCTCTATCTCATCTATATCTATCTCACATTTTCCTTATCCACTCATTGGTGAGTGGATGGAGACAGGATGATTCCATGCCTCAGCTATTGTGAATAATACTGTCATGAACATAGGGAAGCAGGTAGTCCTCAAGACACTAATTTCATTTTGTTTGGGTCTACATCCAAAAATGGGGTGGATGGATCATAGTGTAGTTTTAGTTTTTTGAGAAACTATCATCCCATCTGTACCAGTCTACACCCCTGGCAGTAGTGGCAGCAGGCAGGATTCCCTTTACCTTGGTCCTCACCAACAAACCAATAAATGCCGTCACTGTTTTTTGATACCAGCCCTCCTACCAGGTGTGAGATATTGTCTCTTCCTGGCTTTCACTTACTTCTCTCTGATGATGAGTAATGTGAGTGGCTTTTCATAGACCTCTTAGCCATTTCTATCTTGTTTGGAAAAATAATCTACTCAGGTTCCTTTACCCACTTCTTAACCAGGTTTTCCTGCAGCTGAGTTGTGTAAGTCCTTCCTATATTTTAACTACATATTTAACTCCACATAATGGCTTATATGATTTGCATGTATCCTCTCCTAAGCTGCCATTCTACTTCATTAACTGTTGTCCCTGCTCTGTAGACCTTTTTCGCTACAGCTCTACTTTTTATTTTTGTTTCTAGGCTTGTACTTTTGGTGTCCAATCCAAAGAAATCATTGCTAAGACCAAAGTAAGGAACTTCTCCCTCCCCATTTTCCTCTAGGAGTTTGACAGTCTCAGGTTTTATATTTAAGTATTTATGCATTTTTGAAAAGCTCTGAAGTATTGATTATGAAAGTGAAAATTTTACTGGACTTTCTCCTGCTTGGTAGATACTTTGTTGTGCATTGTAATGAAACACACAGGGCATCAAATTCTTTCCAGTGCTTGGAGCATGTGGAGATCCTGTCTTCCCTCTGGGGTTCCCACCTGCCTGGGGCTGGGGAGCCCTAAAAACCACCTTCAGGTACCGGCAGCTGGGCCCCTCTTGGAAGCCCTCCCTTCTTTCATTTGCATCTCATTAGCACCACCTGGAGCTGGTGGCCCTGGGACACAGTCTGCAGCCTGGACCAGGCCTGTTCTCCGCTTTGTGCTCTGCCTCCCACCCCCACCTCATCCCACATGCCACCAGGAGGGTGCAGACAGACTGGGGCTTGCCCAGCTTTCCACACCCCCACCCTAGCTCCGTCGCCTAGGCTCCCAGCAGCATGTTCCCATGGCAACAGGGTGATGGTGCAGGGTTGTAATGCCTGCTGAGGAGCAATGGGGCCACTCTGATCCCCACCCCTCCACCACCCAGGCTGGATTTTTGACAAGTAGGGCCTCAATCTCCCGAGATGATCAGCGATAATTGGTTTATGGAAATAGCGGAGGGGCGCTGGCCCACAAGCTCCCAGCCAGGAGCCAGCCTCTGCTCCCTGCCACCTGTCCCTCCCTCTCTGGAGGGTGGAGTTGGGGGAAGGGAGGGCTGAGGAGCCAGGCTTTGCACATGAGGCCCTGTGTCACCTGTTGGTCCTCAGCACAGCGTCTCTCCCTCTTCCCCACAGTCATCCTAACCCCTTGAACCTTGGCTCCAAGTCTGGGCTTAGGCCAAGGCTGGGAGCACTGTTGGAGAAATGGAGGATGAGCCTTGGACCCTGAGGGTGTCGCTGTTCAGGGACAGAAGAGGAGCATATGAACCACATTTCTGTAAAGTCAGGCTAGTGTTGCCACTGCTATGGGACTCCAGAGGAGCTAGTGCTCAACCCTGGGGGCTGCCTAGAGGAGGGGGAGTCCTGGGAAAGGCTTTGGGGGTGTGGTTTTGGTGGGTGCTGGAGGGGGAACAGGCACTCCCCAAAGGCAGGAGCTGAATGATGCTGGGCTGGAGGAGGCGGGGAGCCTGGTGGGGATTAGAGCTTGTGGGGGGAGCAGGTCCTGCAGGGCTTTATAGTAAAGGCTGAGCCAGGCTGGCTGGCACGGGGATGCCGCCTCTGGGAGCAGGGAGGCTGTGAGATGGGCAGAAGACATGGTATGGAGGGCTCGGGTACCTGCTGGCTGCTAGGGCTATGGGGAGGGAGGACCAGGAGCCCTGAGACGGAAAGGACTGGGGAGAGGTGGCCAAAGGGTGGAGACTTAAAGAGGAATTGTGCAGAGGGGATAGAGGTTAGAGGAAGAGGCCACTCAGCCCCAGCTCTCCTTGCAGGTCACTGAGAGCCCGGAGGACGCCCTGAACGCCCCCCAGAGCATACCACCTAACATCAGCCACCTGTCTCCCACGAAAGGACCAGGAGCCCTAAGACGGAAAGGACTAGGGAGAGGTGAGGGCCCCCCAGCCACTTGGGCATGGTAGGATAGGGCACCCAGAGGCCAGAAGAGGGGACCCAAAGCCTTTTCTCTGACCATCGCCACCACTGAGCGCTGCCTAGGCCTCTGCAAGCTGTGGCCAATCCCTGTCCAGATGCTTGTAGGATGAAAAGGTGGCCGGCCCTCTGGACCCTTTCGTACCTTTCCTCCCCCTCTACAGAGCCACATCCCCTGTATGACTTCTCTTGGTTGTCACAGTCTAGGTGCTAAACCTTCGAGGATCCTTTCCAAATACCCACCCCTTGGTTTCTGCTCACAATGCCGACACCTGTAAGTGCCCCCTCCCCTACCCTCTCCCCCACTACTTACACCACCACGTAGGGACATGGCTCCGAGCCGTCCGCGCACGAGGGGAGGTTGGTAGCCCCATGCAGAGTGACCATGATGGTCTCCTTATTGGAGGGAGACAGGTGGCTGATGTTAGGTGGTATGCTCTGGGGGGCGTTCAGGGCGTCCTCCGGGCTCTCAGTGACCTGCAAGGAGAGCTGGGGCTGAGTGGCCTCTTCCTCTAACCTCTATCCCCTCTGCACAATTCCTCTTCAAGTCTCCACCACCTGGCCACACACTACAGGACAGTCATCCTACAGGCTGCTCTCTCCCTGCCTCTGTCCCACACCCCGTGTGTCTCTCAGTGCTTTCCTGTCTCTCCCCAGCCCTGGACATGTCCCCTCCTGCAGTAGGAGACAGGCCGCCTCACCTTCTGAGCCCCGTGTCTCAGTGCTTCTCACGTCCTAGTGGTTGGCCACCGTCATCACGGGTCTGTCATGTGCACAGCACTTTACAGTTTACAGGGCATATCCCCACCCATGAACTCTCAGGGTACTGGTGGGGACAATGATTGCGTCTGTCTCAGATGTCCATCCACCTTCTACCCAGAGGATCTGTACAGGAGGAAGTGGGGTCCTGGTCCCCTCCCAGTGCTGCCTGGCTCCTGACTCCACTCCTGGCCTGGAGCGGCCCTTCTGGACTCCCCCTGGCAGAAGGCTACCTGCTGTTTGCCCTTCTGGTGTGGTGAACTGGTGATGAGGGGCCATAGTCCTCCTAAGGCTGCAAATGGCCGGCTATTGATGGGCACCGTCAGGACAGCTGGGTTCCCTGCTCTGTCTCTTCACTCCATGGGACTTGAGCTGCTGTGCTCTGAGAGTGAGTTTCCCCAGTGGGACATGAAGGCTTGGAGCTGCCTGTCGAGACCCGCCCTCTCCCAGCTTGCACTGGGGATCTGGGCACAGCGCCCCCTCCTGGCTCTGGTAAGCCTTGGGCCCAGGGAAGACAAGGACCAAGCACTGAGGCTCTGCTCAGCCCTGAAGACCTCCAGAGATGTGACCTCCTTCAGTTCTCAGGGAAGTGAGTGGGGAGATCTCCCAGAAACCACGTGCCGCTCGACAGCTTCCCTGGGATTTCTTGGCAACCCAGAGCCAACGCCCCGAAGGGCACACCTTGACTCCACTCTGACATCTCTTCCCGCTGTCTGCCCTACATGGTGATGGCCACTTTATTCTTCTGGTCACTCTAGGCCCAAACTTTGGAGTCCCTGATGGTTCTCTCTTCCCCTAACTTCCTATTGGGTCATTGTTACTGCCTTCTAGCATTTGTCCTGCTTGATCCTCTGCCTGGACTGCTCTTTCCAGATGTCACCGGGAAGGAGGGACTGTCATCCCCGTGGCTTACTCTGGCTTCCCCATGCAAGTCCTTGCTTAACAAGATGCCTCATTAGGAGGTGAGAACAGGCCTCAGCCCAGGCCCAGTGGGGCTGTCACCATGTGCGGCAGCGTTGATGAGTGTCTTCTTCCCCATTCTTCTGTCAGGCTGGGTGGGAAGACAGAGGGAACCCCTAGCGTGGGACAGACCCAGACCACGCCTCTCCTCTTAGTCTGACCACTTCCTTCTTAGCTTCCTACCACTCCGGACAGGTCAGTCTCCTAGTTTGGTGGTTGAGGACCAAAACTAACTAATAGCCTGTGGGGAAAGAGATATAGGTCTCATCCAGCTCTGCCCAGCTCTCTTTGCCACCTCTCTGAGCCTCAGTTTCCCTCCCTGCCAAACCCAGACTGGCTTGCTACTCAGCCTTCACAGCAGCAGGTGTGCCCATGGTTCCTGCAAGTGGCCTGGGGAGGAGACTTATCTCCCTCACACTCTGGCCTTGACTCCTTCATTGCTGTGAGTGTATGGGGCCTGTCATGAGCTTTCCGGTTGCCACAGAGGTGAAGGCCCGGAAGCACTGAGGTTATCCCTGGAATCCCAGATCCCAGCCAGGCCTGTGCCACCCCCTCTGTACCTCAGTGGCTTCTCTTCCAGCACAGCCTTCCAGGAATGTAGCCTGAAGGGACAGAGTTGAGAATGGCTCACACTTCACTCAGACCTGAGGCCAGCTGGCAGGCTGGTGCCTCCTGGCGAGGCCTGCAGGTCTGTCCTCACTCTCCCCGCTGGGCAAGCTGAGACAGGGCCAGGGAGGCCTAGGCCAAGGAGGAGGTCTGCGGTGGGACTGTAGGCCAGGCTCTCAGTCTCTCCTCCCTTTAAGCTTCCTCCCTCCCCAGGCTTCCCTTAAAGGTCCTGCATCAGGATAACATCCTCTGCCTGTCCTCTACCCTGGCCAGCACTGAATGATGTAGTAGTAATGACTTATATGTGGTGGAGTGAATATGGCTGATGGTGAACTCCCCCCAAATCTCAGACTACACAAACCCAGCAGAGGGTGGACTGAGCCCCAGGGAGGAAATTCACTTCCCCTGAAAGACCCCCTAGCTGTGTGTATGGCTGGGATTCCCAATGGCTTCTCAGGCCTGCTCTGGACTCTCCCACCCAAGGCTACTAGGTGCAGAACTCAGCAGGCCACTCTTCCAAGCCACACGGCCCACAGATGTCGTGGCCAGCTCAGCACTGAAGCCCACTGGTACCCAAATATGGCACCTGGCACCCTGCTGGGCCTGGCATGGGGCAGGCTCAGAAGTTGCTAATTCTGGTACCTTGCCCGTTCAGACAGGTGGATTTGCTGTCAAAAAGCCAGGAGCGGCAGCAGCTGTCCTAGAGGGGCCGGGATTGTCTGTCTGTTGCACAGGGCATTTGGTGTTGGATTCCAGCGGGCTTGAGTTAGTGTGTGGCTGAGGAAGTAGGGCCAGGGCTGAGGCTGGAAGCAGAACCTGCTGGAATCCGCAATCTTGAGGCTTTTGCCCTGTCCTCTGCATGCATCTTGGACATGGGCTCATTCTGTGGGCTACAAGGCCTACCATGCAGGGATTCATTAGTAGTGGCAGAGTTTAGGGCATCTGGGGCAGGAGAGACCTCCTTGAAAGATGACCTAGAGCTGGCAGTGTGGCTCAGTGGTGGAGCATGTGCCTAGCATGCATAAGGCCTTGGGTTCCATCCCCAGCATGGGAAAAAAAAACAAAAAACATGAAATTCAGGTCATAAAGAAAGAATTAATAGGCTTGATTGTTTGACTATGTTTTAAAAAATCTATACCAATTTTTATAATTGCCCAATTTTACAATACTGAAGAGAGAGAGAGAGGGAGAGGGAGCAGAAGAGGAAGAAGGAGAGGGAGAGGGAGGGGGAGAGACAGAGAGAGAGGGAGAGAGGGATACATAGAGAGAGGAACAGGAGAAAGTTGCAATAAATAAAAAGAATTAATATCCTTAATACAAAGAGCACTGACATCTATAAACATCAACCAATAGAGAGACAAGCGCTGGGATTTTCAGAGGAAGAAATATGAATATATAGTACCATATAAATTATGAACATCTTTTACAGGGGATTCTACCCAGCTATTAAAATGTTTCCTAAAGCTACAAATCAAATCAAATGGATCTGGCTCCTCTTCAGGATCCCCCACATTCCCTGGGTCCCTGAATCTGCTGCTGCTTAGGGATCCTGTTTGGCCAATTTGGTCCCAGTCCTGAGTGTATGACAGTCCAGGAGGAGGCTTAAACAGGAGGGTGGGATCTGGACAGAGAGCATGAGGGCCCAGGGACATCTGAGCCAAGGGTAGTAAAGGTGGAAGTCACACTGGCTCCGGAGCACCCCCAGATATTTAGCTTATTTGACCTAAGGGTATAGCTGCAAGAGGGTATTCTCAGGGAGTCTGCACCTGTGTGCATTTGGTCTTGGCTCTTTCTGCCATCCCTATGGGTAAATGACACTGTCACAGGCTTCATATTGACAGCCAGCAGAAGGTACGGAAGCTCCTATGCTGAACTATTTGCATGTTATTACACTGAGAGTTTAGTCCCCTCCGGGAAGGCCATGTTCCTCTGCTATAGATTTTTATTAGGCACCTACCAAAAAATCAAACAACAACAAGAACAAAAATGCCTTCTCTCCGGGGGTTCCAGGACCTGTGTCCCAGCAGGGAACCTGGGCCTGGGAGGGCAGGGGCTTGGTGGGCACAGGGGCCATTGCCAGGGGTACTAAGGGGGATGAGCCACTTCAGTGGGCTCTTTGAGCCCAGCACCCAGGGGGCAGAACCCAGCAGGGAAGGGCAGCCTCAATCAACACCTGCAAAAGCTACATTTCAATTCCCACAGGGCTCAAGGAGAGTCTGAGACCACACTGCTCCCCATTTCATAGCTGTGGAGACAGACTCATAGAAGAAACATTTTCTTCACAATTTAGGAGCAAGCAAAACAAAGGACTATGCAGGAGGGATGGGCTCTTTCAGGTGTGCCTGGTCTCCGTACCCAGCCTCACCTTGCTCTTTCTCCTCCCCATCATCTCTGGGCAGGTGAGTCCAGCCTTGTCTATCAAGCTCCGAGACCAGTGTGTGGTGTGGGAGGGTGACCAGTTGTCAGTCCTGCCCCAACAGCTTGCCCGGGCACCTCAGTGTCAGTGTGGTCTCAGGATGGCCGTACACCAGCACTGGGCCGGGCCAGGGAAAGGGGAGCGTGGGCAGTGTCAGTGTCTGGATCTTTCTCAGCAAGGAGAGGTTCTGTGGGTGCAGGGATTTTGTGAGACCTGGGCCATGCCAGTTGAGCAGGGGGCTGGGCACCCCCAGGAAGATGAGAGAGTTTGGCCTCTTTCTTCCCAGACCTGGAAACACAGTGGGCTTTTCTTCCCAGCTAGGTCACCAGGCAACACTGTGTGACATCGTAGCTGAAGTCACACAGGCCCCTGTGTGGGAGCAGAGGGTGGAATCAAACACTTCTCTGTCTCCCTGAAGCTGCTGCCTGCTGCCTGGCATCATCTCCACCCCCTCCTGACCTTGGTACCCATGGCCTCCCCAGCTCCACTGTATGCCCAGCCCCACCCTACTCCTACTCCCACTTCCAGCAGAGGGGACCTAGCATTGCCCTCAGGGCAGTCAGAACTCAGTGTGTAAAACAGCTACTTCTGCTAAAGAACCACAGCCCTCTTCCTCTCTGGATACCTATGGTCTTCCTTGTGTTTAATAATTACAAACACAGAACTCAAGAGGATGGTTTCCTCTTGGAGAGTTGGCTGGAAGACTGGGGAGAGATTGGTGAAAGAATACATTATT